TGAGCGACATACAAAACATGAATCAAACCATTCCCCTCCACTGCTTAAAACTCTTCAAATATATTTTTGACCTATGTCCACACTCCACAGGGGGTCTTCAAAACTGTGTATGATCTGACCATGTGCTAACTCTGCAACTGAACCACATGCTACTTGCCGTCCCATTCTCTATTCCACCCACAGTGGCCTCGCTTCAGTTCCTCAGTGGTCCAAAGCTTTCATGCCTCAGGACCTTTGCACCCAGTGTTTCCTTTGCCTGGAATACTCTCTCCCTGGCCCATAGGGGCTCAATAAATGTTAACTAAACAAATGACAATAGTGGATTTCCTCTCCTACGTGAATAATATAAATAATAAGTAATATGAAAAATTATGTTTTTAATAACTTATTTAGCCATTTGTATTTATGACACTTAAATTATAGAATTAGGTTATGGGTTATCTAAAGCATGTTTACTTAGATGGGGTAGGGAGGAGAAGGGAGCAGCGGTGGAAGAGGGAGGAAACATTTATCATGTGATAATCATGAATCTTCATTCTTGTTCAATAGATATTAATATCCCTGTTTTTCAGAACGTAGGTGATTCGAAGAGGTCAGATAACTGGCTAAGAGAGAGCAGGAAGGAAGCAGTGGGTCTGGAATTTACAGGTGGTCTGATGCCAGCATCCATGGGTGGTCCCCAGGTCCTGGTGCCTTGGAGCAGATGCTGAGAGATGAGGTTTAAGGATAAGAAAAGGGGGATACACCTGGAACACTGCCTTTTTTGCTCACGTGGGAAGCATCACCAGCCACTGTGAGTTAGAGAGTCTGGGCATCTTAGTTATATCCAGTTCTGCCTCGGTGGTCACACACAGCCTGCAGGAGCTGAACTGGGCCCCAGCTTGAGAACCCGGTGCCCACACCCACAGACGAGGTGGGAGTACAGTTAGGTATGACAATTAGTAAGCTGCCATCTGCTAAAACATCACATACTAAGTGAGACTTAATATGGTTATGGGTTTCTTTGAACTTTTTTTTCCTTCACCATATGTGCTTAAAGTCTCTGAAAAGGAAACGGGAATGTGTAAAAGAATGGTGACATTCTGTAGTGTGTCAGTGGAATGAGAAACTTATCAGGCACTGTCTATTTCTGGGAGTTTGTGGTATTTTATGGTTCCAGGCTTCCAGTTAGTGACATAATGGCACTGCCAAGATGACTTACCACATGTGGGGTAGAGAAGAGCACCATGGGAGGTGCTACTTCTGAAAGTTACTTTGGCTTTGCTTTGGACTAAGTTGACACATATACAGAAAATACCCCTTTTTCTCCAAGGCCTAATGGAAATGACATCTAATCTGCTTGGCTAATACATATTTTTCCCAATGGGTAGGAACCTCTCTGTCCCGGGTCTTCCTGTTGCATTTTGTTTACGCCTCTGTGATAGCACTTCTCCCGGGCGTGCTAGAATCCTCCTTCTAGCCTCTTGCATTTCTATCTCCCTCCTCCACTAACCTATAGCTCCTGCGGGCACGGGCCATGGTTGCTTCATCTTTGCGTAATCCAGTGGGGCCTACCCAGCACAGTAATTTACATTAGAGGTGCTCAATATAGGTTGTTGAAGTGAAACAGAATTGTTTTAGAAAAACAATTTAGAATCATGACTTTAACACAAGATACCTCAATTATTTGCAGACATGACATATTGTAGATCAATAACATAATGGACTATATCCTTAGAGTAAATGCTAAAAAAATTACCAAGAAAAAAAATCCTCACTCTTTATGAAAGCCAGTGCATGGTTTAGGTTAAATTGCATTGTGTAAATTCTGTGGAATCCAAATGTTTGAAATAAAGAAGAGTATTGCTTTTGGTCTTGGCACTGGAGCAAAAGGTGGAAGCCTGTTAGAATATTCATGGTTAGCTTAGCATAGGTGTGTCAATAAATCATTGCCATGGCTCTGTGGTAACTAGAGATCTCTCTCTCTCCCTGAACATTGTTATAGGGAAATATTTATTTACAAACTTCCTGACTGTAAAGAGAAATACAATGAATGTCATAAAGCACCCATGCATTATGACAGTGTGTTTAGAGCAGGCTAAGTATTTTGTTTTCTAAATATTTAAGCATGGCCAACACATCCGTTGGGAATCCTGACAGAAACAAAGAAGGACTCTAGGTCATAGAGCAGAGGACTATCTCTAGCCTAGAAAGGAGAGTTGGAAGATGAGGGGTTACATAATCAAAGTACCATTTCAGGAAGATGCATTTGGCAAGGGTATACAGGCTAAGGGCAGGCTGGGCTGCTCCTGGAGTGCTGGGGACCAAGGAGGCAGCTGTAACAGTAATCTGGATGTGAGGTCAGAGAGGCATAGGGACAGCAAGTGGTAGAAGTGTAGAGCAAAAATTGGTCATAAAAGACATGTCAGAGGGAAAATCCCTATGCCTCTGTGAATGTGATAGATAATTCTAAAAGATTGGGTCTGGGTGACTTGAATGACTTGTCAATACAGAGAGAAAGAAGCAGGGAGGGGCAGCTGAAACCCTCTTCTATAGGGGAATAGAAGAGTTTACTGTTGGATATGCTGAGTTCAATCACACAGTGAGACAGCCGGGTAGAAATTCTCTTGACTCCATCCCTGCCATTTTAGGACATTGTTGTTCTCTAAGGAATAGCAGATCTGGTGACAGCAAAGAGATATTTAAGACAAGTAAAGAACCAGCTAAGTTTGAAAGTGCTGAGGTCACAGCACAGCCACAGCTGAGACACGCTACAGTGCTCCGGCTGGATATTTGATCTCACAGCATGCTGACTCCCTGCCAGGCTAAATGTTCTCAAATGGTGACTGGATTCTGGCTTAGATTTCTGCTTCCACTCATCTACAAGTATTTAGCTTGTAGTCAGGCATTAGAACACGATGACTTTATCATTTAAAGAGTAGAAACAGTTCTTAGGTTACAGTGGTCCAAACGATTGCAGCCTCCAAATTTGCGAAGTAGTCACGTAAATCAAAGAGTTAAGACTCTGACTGTAATGACAATATGCCCGACTGAATCCTCTTGGTCCAGTTTAATTCATCCTTTGGTAATTAACTCAAAAGTTACCATCTCTAAGCAGCCACTTGACTCCTGGAGGCAGTCAGTTTACTTCGTTGTCCATGTTCCCACAGCACCTTGTTCTTATTTCTAGTAGAGCCCATGGGACAGACTCTGTGTCTGTCACCACTCGGCGGGGTGTCCCTTGAAGACGGGAACTTTTTATGTCTCTTTGTATTCCCCACTCCCCTATCAGAGTGGGGGCTAGAGGGTGGTATTTCATTGTTGGAAATGCCCAAAAGAGAAATGTTAAGAACACGGAGAGAGCGATGCGCAGTCGCCATAGCCAAGCCTGGGTACGCATCATATGTCACATCCCTGCCGATGGTGTTGTTGCCGCACCAGCAGAGGCCGTGTGCTCATTACATGCTGCTGGCCCATATTTGTAATGTGTGACATTTTTTAATGAAATACTGTCAAGGGTAATTCATCATACCATAACTTTTGGGTTATATGCTGAGACTGGTCTTAAACATAGACATATTGAACTTCGAGGATAATGCTATTTCCTAAAAAGGGTACGATCCAAGGGTTCTGGCTGGAAAAATGAAGCAGGACCTCATGTCCTTTTAAGTTCATCAGATGTGCCTGAAAAGGATGTTTGTTTCTGTCTACTCCAGCTAGGGACAGGGGTAGTGTGTGAAGAGAATCAGGTGACTCTGAAATGTGGTGGAATATTTTTTTCCTGTAGAACATCAGTGTTTGGAAAGGGAGTGAAGACTTGCTAAAGGTTTGTAATCACTTTATCTCAAGAGGCATTAAAAAAAATAAAAGGGCACATGATAACTCTAGTGAATTTCAGTTGTCACTGTCGCCTCACAGTGAAAGGTATTCTCTCTGCGTATCCATAAAGATCTAGGATTTTTTAAATGTATAATAGAGTATAAATAAAAGAGAGCTTCTAAATCCCATCATTTTTGTGTAAGTCCAGATAAGACTCCTTTGATGAGCTTAGCATTTCCTTTTTAGGGAAAGCTTGTAGGTGAGAGAAACACTAAAATTATAATTCTTTCTCTCCCTTAATTAGACTGGAGCTCACCATAGATCTTGCTGAAGCTGTGAGAAAATCCAAGCAATAATTCACATTGTCAGATCAGCAGAGATGGGCATGGGGGTCCAACATGACTGAAAGGTTTACTGACGCGATCTATGTGTGAACTGAATGGCTCACAAGGAATACAAGTCTTCATTGGAAATACACCCTCTGAAGACACTGAGCATAAACAGCAATGAAGATAAATTCAAGCAAGATTCTTATACCACTTTTACAGATGTCATTCCAGAGGAAATATATAAATCACATTAATACCAATTGATGTGGGTCACTAATTAATAAGGCCCATTAAATCGTGGAGTAATGACATTTAGCATCTAATGAATGCCTCGTAATCTCTTGATCATTAATATTTCATGGCATAAGAACACAAGGATGGGCATCCCTGGCTCAGGCAGCATGGTTTCTTGTCTCTGGGCGCTTGGTGGCACAAGGGCATTGCTCCTCTGCTGTGAGAACACACAACATAAAGGATTAACCCTTCCAGTAACCCGGGTCCCAACACTTCCTCTTTGGGCAGGTGTGAATCTGCTTGCCATTCTCAGAGTTAACATCTGTGACTACTGGGTGCCCCCGAAGAATAGAGCGGAGCTGCCACGTTGCATTTGGTGCGTGGCATTGCTTCGTTGTTGACCTTCCCGGGCCATTCAAGAAAGTTGCTCGGGAGAGAAATCATTACTTTGATTTATAACCAGGGCTTTCTTTATTCAAAGGCAATGATCACCTCACAGAGCAGGTGCCGTTGCAGGGGTTTATTGATCCTATGCCCTTCTAGAAATTTCAGGAGGACGTCACTCTGGAGATGGAGAAGGTCAAAGAAAGACAAGTCCATCTCTGAGCTGGCGGAATTGAAGTGGGAGAAACTCTCCAGTCTCTATCGCTCCAGGGACACTCGGAGTCTTTTCTTTCAGAAGAGGGGCTGGAGCAGAGAGACCGCGCTGAGCTTGCAATGGTCGAGTGAGAGGGAAAGAGGAAGGCGACGGAGAGCGGCTAGGGGTGGGGGGAAAAGGGTCTTCAGCTCTGGACCCAGATTCCCAAGAGTTAAATCCCACCGCGCAGCCTGACCTGATGGGATTTCCTTCTGGGAACAAAACGCAACGCTGATCAAAATCAAGTTGGACAAGTGACAAGACTGAGTCTGATGTTGGTGGACGTCTTTTAACGTCGTAGGAGGGCAGACGACCGGAGACAGTGCGCTGGGGGTAGCTGGAGAGAAGCACTGAGCCCAGGGAAGGGACATAAAGGGACACGCAGCCGGGAAACGGGGACAAATGAGCAGGGGAAAAGAGAGTGGAAGAGCTGAATAAAAGTAAGGGGAAAGTGGAGACAGGGTTAAGGGGAGAGAGCAGGATGAGAGAGAGAAAAGTGAGGGCGGCGAGGAGGGATTAAAAAGGGAAGGGAGATGCTGGAGAGCAGGGCAGACAGTTGGAACCCGAGGAGCGGAGAGGGTGGAAGGGAGTGAGCGCCAAGGGGGCGCGGAGAGTGAGCCGAGGGGGCTGGAAGAGGAGGGCAGGAAAGTGCGATCGCGCGGGGGTGGGCGAGGAGCCGGGGCGGAGAGGGGGCAGGAGGCGGTGGGAAGGAGAGAGGAGGCAGGGGAAGAGGGAGCCCGCGGGCCGGCGGGCGGGGGCGTGGAGGCCGCGGGAGGGAGGTGGGGGGCCGGTGGGGGCACGCGGGGGGTGGGGAGCGCGGAGGAGAGCCGAGGCCAAGTGCATTGTGTCTGGCAGCGGCGCCGCGATCCCACCGGCGGCTGCGGCGGGGCGGGAAGCCATGGAGCCGCGGGCGCTCGTCACGGCGCTCAGCCTCGGCCTCAGCCTCTGCTCCCTGGGGCTGCTGGTCACGGCCATCTTCACCGACCACTGGTACGAGACCGACCCCCGGCGCCACAAGGAGAGCTGCGAGCGCAGCCGCACCGGCGCCGACCCGCCGGACCAGAAGAACCGCCTGATGCCGCTGTCGCACCTGCCGCTGCGGGACTCGCCCCCCCTGGGGCGCCGGCTGCTCCCGGGCGGCCCCGGGCGCGCGGACCCAGAGTCCTGGCGCTCGCTGCTGGGGCTCGGCGGGCTGGACGCCGAGTGCGGCCGGCCACTCTTCGCCACCTACTCGGGCCTCTGGAGGAAGTGCTACTTCCTGGGCATCGACCGGGACATCGACACCCTCATACTGAAAGGTGAGCGGCGGGCGCGCCCTGCGTCCTGGGCGCCCGCGCATGGAGCGCAGCCCTCGGCTCCCGTGGGCGCGCCGGTCCCCGTGGCCACCTCCCCGCCGAGTCCCCGTGCTGCGCTCCCCTGCACATTCTTTCATTCTTCCCCGCCGCCTCCCTTCTTTATCCTTCTCCCTTTCTTTCTTCCCCGTCCCTCCTTTCTTTTCCCTCTCACGCATCTTCCCATGACTCTCTTCTTATCTCCTCACCCTGTTCTTCTTTTTCCCCTTTTCGCACGTCTTTCTTTGCCTCCCTGTTTCCCTCTTCTTTCCCTCTCCTCCTCCCTGTCTTTGTACACCTGCCTCACTCGGAATGCCTGTGTCGATGTTCTTGAAGCCGCTGCCCATGGGCTTCCCAGTAGGCTCCTTTCCTCGAGTTGTGCTTTCCTTTTAGAAATACCTTTGGAAGAAAAGTGCCGCAAAACTCGGAAGAGGGGGAAAGGGGCTTTTTCTTGTATCGAGCCAATGTTGGTAGCAGGCGGAGCTGATGCTGTGGCTGGCAGGCTAATGGGAAGCTAAGGAGGCCTGGGAACCTTTCTCCAAACCTCCCAAGTGCAGGGTTCCTGTGGGTTAGACCTCCCATATACCCTCAGTGCTTTGGTGGCGGCAGCTGGACGCGGATAGGACATCCACCCTTTTTCACCTGTGGTGATGACTGGGCACACCGTCCTCAGGGCCTAGGCACACCAGGGTGAGGGGAGGGGAGAACCTGCCCCAACCCTGGAAAGCAGAGCTTTTGGATTTGCTCCCGGACTCTACAGAATCACTTCCTTTTACTTTTGTGTGTCTTGAAAGGCTTTTTTGGTGGTTGGTAATTTAGCACTGAGTTGTAGAGCATCAGTTTGCTCTTCTGAAATCTCTGCAACACCTGGGGCCCCTGTATGTGACCAGATAGTTTGATTTTTAAAAATAATCTCATTAATGTAAAAATATTCAATGTGACAGCCCCATTGAGGAAGCTCCTTTCTAACTTTGAGAGCACCACCCCTAATATAATTTTTGAGATAAAAAAATAAACCTTCTTTCCCTTGAACTATCAAAAAAAAAAAGAAAGTCTAAAATCAGAAAATCTTAGTTTATAGTAGCCATTCAGGAAGACAAAGGAACAGACTTGTGTTGAATTCCAGTTTGGAATGGAATTGCTTAGAAAAGAGGGGGTTAATAATATTTTGGCCTTCAGAATCTTGTTGGCATACTCTTCATTTCTCAAATGTGACAACTTCCTCCTTCCTGTGGCTAGCTCAGCTGGGGACTGCCATCTGAAACCTGTCTGTTCCTGGAAGGACTCCAGAGCTTCTGGGGGGTCACACACAGTAACCTGCCTTTGGGTAGTGCACCTTTTTCTTTCCTCTCCTAACTTGCATCCAAATCTGATTTCTCCTCAGGAAGATGCTGCATAATTAATTCTGATAGCAGCAGAGCACATGAACAAACTGTAAAGGCTGAGTTTGGAGGCTCAGTTGTGGGATGCTCATTTAAGCAAGGCAGTTTTGAAAGCTAAACAGTGTAGTCTGTCTTTGGAAATGACAGGGCTGCATTTCCTTACACTTTTTCTAAGCCTCGGGTATTTCATTGCATGTAAAGCGGATATAGAGTAATGGCTGTCATAGAAGGGCAGGGTCCAACCCAAGCACAGGAGAGGGACCTCTACGCCACAGGGCACATTCCCCGCCTCTGCAGGTGCTCTGGCTAGCTGAGGTGCTGGCCCCTGGTCAGTCCAGGAGCAAATGATCCTAGAGACAGAAGGGACTTTAGAGGTCATTGAATCCAACCTCCTGCCCATTTTTCGAACTCCCTTCATTTACCATCTTTCTGACAAATGGTTATCTAGCCTAGCACTTTCATAAGACAGAATGTTTAAAAACATTCTATTTTGCTGGATATGATTGTTTTAGATTAAGACAGTCTCTGGTGTATAATATGGATGGCATTTAGCTAATCCTTTGTGCAGAACACTTCACAATCTGAGGTTATAATCCGAAGGCGCGGGCTCCGTGGCTGGCTCTGCTGCAGTTGAGCAGCAGAGCCTCTAACAGGTGGCCAGGCCTCTTTGGCCTTCAGTTTCTTGTCCGTAGTCTTAGGAAGGCTGACTATTCTTTAGGGAATTTTCTAGTTTTGAAATCTATCATTGTTGTAAGAATAACAATGGAGATTCAGCTTCCGGGGGAGTTAATAAGCTGACATTATTGAGACCAGAGTTTGGGAAAAATGACAGACCGGGGTACCTTATAGAACCATACCTTGTTCTTTGGAAGATGGCCCAAAATGCCTCAACTACTTGCAGCATCGTTACTAACCTACCTTGGGTGAGTTAGCTAAGTCTTGTGGGTCGCAGTTTCATCTGTGAAGTGAAGGGCTAAAATGGACAGCTTTAAAATTCTATGAATAATTTGAGGCAGGAAAATGCTGCTGACGTTTTTCTTTCTCAGATGATTTTGGCACTAGTATTAGGTAAACATTATTACCTTTGTTTTGACATTTGACATTAGTGGCTGTGGTATGACTATCTTAAATGAGTCCTATATAATTAGAAATTCACATCACACCCAATTTAAAAAGTTGGATAACTAGGGTCTCAAGTTCTGTTCTCACTTTCTTCTCTGAATTACCTTGCTTATGAGTCCTGACATTTACGGATTTTAATAATAGGAAATGGGGAAAAAAGTAGACTCAGATGAGAGGTGTGGGGAGGGTTGGGAAAGGACTACAAGACCCACCTGGCATATTCAGTGAGCTTTTGAGAGGAAAAGAGGTCTGCCTTTCCTCATTTGGACTTAGAGGTCAAAGCCAGGAAGGAGGAGGTGGGTGAAAGTCACAGAGGAAAATGCAGGGTTGAAGAGTTGATAGTATGGAAAACATTCTCACAATTGGAATTGATTGCATTTCCTGCGGCTGGAAGCAAGTATTTTTGAGAGCTGTAGAAGACAAACAGTCAACGCGGACAGCGAGAGATCAGTTTAGAAATGAAAAGTGTAGACTCTAGAGTCTTAATCTGTTTAAGAGGAATCACATTGGCCAGAAAAGGATTGATCTCAAAGGGGAAAGTAGTTGGGAAAAATCATCCAGTTCTGACTTTTAGCCTTTCATCATGGCTCTTGTTCACTTCTTGCCCAGAGTGACCCTTGAAGGTCTACACTGAACCTTCAACCCAAGGACCTTCAATGAGAATGGAGGTGAAGTTACTGATAAACCCATTAAGAACCAAGACTAGAACACTCTTCTACCAGACTGACTTTGGGTGCTAAGGAAGCTTTGGTGGTCAAAGTAAGAACTGTCTCTGACAAGTATGCAAATGAAGTTACCCTTCACTCAGCAATAAAAAAGTAGAAAAGTTGAGGGAGCCTAGTGGTAGAACTTGAGAGAACAGACTGAAAGCACTGGGCCCTCAGGCTCCTCAGGGCAGCTGGGGCTGTCGGGGCGGGGGGGTTGAAAGAAGATTTTGTATGTAAAAGTTACAGAAAGTCAGAAAGGTAGGAAAGCGGCATGGATTGTATAAGCAGCCCAGGACGTGAGAGGAGGTGACCTAAAGGTAGGTTCTTTATTCCACCTCATCTCCCTGTCCTGGAGGTTGGCTCACCATTAAGTTATGGCCCCACCACTGCTTCCTTTACAAAATTCCTGAGTCTTAGTTGATCTGTACAATGGAACAGATAACATTTCATTCATTCATTCATTCACCCTGTTTCCTTACTCAACAAATATATATTGTGTGTCAGGAATTGTTCTAGGCATAGAAGATACAGAAGTGAACAAAATGGATAAAAAAATACCTGCCTTCATAAGTAGTGGAGTTGTTTTCTAGTGGACGACACAAGAACTGCTCTTGTAGGTTATGGGACAAGCCCTTTAGGAAGGCTGCTGGAATTGGTAAGTGAATGATAGAAAACAGAGTGCAAAATGGTGGCGCACCGTGCCCTTTAGGGGACACTTAGCCATTCTGTTCTAAGTGTGATTCTCATGTTTCAACTACTGGATAAATAGTAAAATGAGAGGACAGATGGAAAGAGACTCAGAAGCATTATATAATGCTTCTTTCAGTTACTAAAAACACTGACTTTAATAAATAAACATTGATGAGACTGGCAGATACATTGTGTAGAACTTTGGAGAAATTAATTTTAAATAGGAATTTGTGACTGCAATTATTTCAAAAGTTCCAACTGTTCTTGCTAGCCTTAACTTATTAAAATTTTTTAATTAAAAATTTTCATTAAAACATTACTTTTCAAATGTATGTATCCTGTTTATGTAAATCAAATTTAACATTATATATTACCTGCAATAAACAAAAGGAAAGTTAATACTATAGTGTTTTGTTTTGATGAAATTTGAAGTGATAGAATTTAAGAAATATGAAGATGACAGTTCTCTATGCCAAAAGTTACCTTGTTTAAATCATTTGGGATTGAATTCTTGAAACTTGAAATAAAACATGTCCTTGTGGTTTTAGAAGCATTTCTTCTCTAATGAGATAAACAGAGATATAAAAGGCAGGAGGACATAAATACTTTGTCATTTTGCTCTCTGCAAAAAAAGGAAAGCAGGAATTGGTAGCAATTCATTGGGTCTGCTCTTCACTCTGCTAATGATTTATTTGTTTCCCCTGTTGCTTGTTTTCCATGAAATTAATAGTCTGTACAAGACCCACCAAGTTCTACCTGACACAGAAATAGATTGATGATTTTCTTCAGTGCATCTGTAGACCAGGGTATCATTTGTGTTGGAATAATTATCTTCCAAGAGCAGATTATCTAGGAAAGCTGAGAGGCTAGCACTGTTTCTCCTTTCTGACCCCTTAGTTCACTTACTGTTCTCGGACCTTCTCTTGGACCACAACATGCTGCTGGCAGAAGGACTCTTCAGTTTTGGGGGTGCTGGGGATATCTTTAAGACTTCCTTTTTCTCTTTACTTATTGAGGCAAGAGGTCTCCAAACTTATTTTGAGCATCACCTTATATAATTTATACG